ATGCGTAAGCTGATGCAGTTTCGCTGCCATGCGGACAGGATATCCTGATGCCTGCTGCACGCCTCTCCTCGGCTGTCCTGGCTGTCCAGCACACGGAGAATTGCTGTCTATTCCTCTCCTGGTTTGTGGAAGTTTATTTTTCCTTCGGGTTATCTTCTTCCTTCTTGTAAGATTTGTAAAGTTTGCAGAAGAAAGTAGGCATTTTTCATACCTTGGTTTCCCTGGGATGAACCATCCCCAGGGTTTGGCTGTGCGAAGCTGGCGGGGCTGCGACGGCTGACGCCTGTGCAGGGATCCCGGCGGCCGGCTGAGACTGCAGTCTGGGTGCTGCAAGACCCTGATTTCAGTATTAAACAAGAGCTTCACCTGTGTTTGTTGTGCTCCCTTCTCCTGAATGAGGGAATGCTGCCGGGGTGGGTGGGTGGGCTCTGAAAGCTCTTCTCCCTGCGCTGGGTGCTGACGGGGGGAGGCACGGGAGATGCGCAGTTTGCTCTTTTTCAGTCCAAGGCTCCTTGGCAGGGTCTTGCCTTTGACATGAGCCATCAGCGTCTGCAAAAGGACAAGAAGGGATCATTTGTGCTTCCTGGCACAAGAGAGTAAAGCTGAAGGGGGGGGAAAAAAGAAAAAAAAAAAGAAAAATGGCACAAACTGATAAATTTCCTCAATTGTACCGACAAAACAAAGCACAGCCCAGGAATGCAGAGTTTTGAAGTGTCTAGCAGTACTAGAAATGTGCCAAGGAGCTCTTGGTGCTCTTAGGAGGCTTTCTGAGCTGCAGGGAGCTGGGCTCCTCCTTCACGTGCAACTTCAGCTGCCGTCAGGTGATTTTGAAAATCCGAGCCCAATATTGCAACCCGTTTTTCTTTGCTATCTGTTGTTGCATCTTAAATGAACTGAGTTTGAGACAGCGTTGGTTTCTGTTTGTGATTTGTTTACTTACCTTGTGTAATCCACTAAGCAAGTTACCAAATAAACCTCCTGCCTGAAACCACTTGAACAACTCGGGCTTTGAGCTCTCTGGCTGCGGACCACGAAGCTCTCCTGTTCTCAGAGTCTCGTCCACTTCCAAGAAACTTTGAGCTCTGTGGCTGCGGACTACAAAGCTCTCCTGTTCTTGCAGAGTCTCTTCCACTTCCAAGAAACCTCCTGTCCATCGAGCTGGCCAGAGGTGGGGTTAAGCACATTAACAAAGAATAACAAGAAAGCTTTGACCCAGCAAGTAAATTGTTTGGAAAGTGCTGAAAGCAATGGAGTCCCCAGGTGTTACAGACTAAAAATAATTATAATAAATGAGCCGGTTCTCATCTGGGTGAAATAGCATGGCTCCATCAAAATTAATGTAGCTCATTAATATAACAATGTTTGTGCCTCAAAAGTCTCTCCTGCATGTGATTTTAATGGATTTGAGGTGCCCAGCTTTAACAGTCTAAAAATCAGAGTTTCATTACTAAAATCCTAAAAATGAGACTAAAGAGAATTCATTTACTGTAATGTATTTTATGTCAGGCCTTCAAGTGGCCTAATAAGTAAGATTTCTAAAAATAATTTCATTCCCATTAATGGCAAGATATTGCAGAGATTAATGCCATATATTTAAGTATGTTTTGCATTTGAGCCGTACCTTTGGCCATGTGAACGCACAGGTGTGAACGCTCAGCGTTACCAGTGCCGGCAGGCGAGATGGTCCTGGGGCACGTGGGCTGGGAAATGCGCTTTTGGGTGTCAGTGTCACCGATGCGGATGTGCATCACGGGGAAACAACGCAAACAACTGCAACGAGCCGGTGATGACGAGAAAACCCGTGTGGATGTTCATCTCCTCAGCAAGGGCACATCAGGTCCTCGGCACTTCCAGGGAGGACGAGTGGATGGCTTCGACAGCCGGCAGATGCGTGTCACACTTGCTCTAGGAAATAAACTGAAGTGGTGTAAAGCAGCGGGAGCACCTTCATGTTCCCGTCCCGGCAGCCCCCAGCGGCCTCGGGCAGGTACACGCCGGGGGAACCTCACCTGCACGGAACAAGATCCACCTGCACAGGATGAGGAAAGGCATTCGTGGCAGAGCTGCCTCCTCACCACCGCTACGCTCTGAGCAAACAGTCTTCTTTTCAGGCATTAAGAGAGGAAAGGGAGCGTGTTCAGCACATCCCGGGAGATTGCCACGTGCCACTCGGGAGCTCCGCAGCGGGAAGACGCAATGAGGACTGGCCACGCTCGGGGCCGCGTGTCACATTTTGCCACTTACGCCAACCCACACCACTGGCAAAGCCATCTATCCCCAAACTCCTAGATCAGTTACAAGTTTTGTGCCTGGAGCACACACAAATATTTATTTGGAAGTTTTTTTTCTTTAAACCCGGCGACAAACCCAGTGTGTTCCTTCTGCTGCAGCTTTTCCCCACTGCCTCCACGAGCAGCCGCAGGAGCGTTCCCCTCACCCACCTCTAGAGACAGCAATTTTAAATTTTCTTTTTAAAAACTGAATTGTGTGAGTGGGCCATTTTGGTTTTCAGCTTCATTGATTGCAAAGCGCAGTATTTTGCTCCTTTGAAACGCAAAGCGCAGTCATACGACTCCTGCGCTGCCACCCCTAAAAAGCAGAATTACAAAAGCAGGTTTGGTGGATCTAGCGATTTCGAGCAGTGCTCCCCAAAGTCACAGAATCACAGAACGGTTTGCGTTGGAAGGGACCTTTAAAGACCATCTCGTCCCCCCCCCTGCCCTGGGCAGGGCCACCTCCCACCAGCCCAGGTTGCTCAGAGCCCCGTCCAACCCGACCTCGAACACTCCCATCCTCGGACGCCCCACGGCTCAGCGCAGACGCGGTGCGGTACCTGCAGGGCTTGGCTCCGGCGCGGGCTCCGTGCTGCTCCGCTCTCTGGTGCTGCGCCGCAGCTCCTGCTGCTCCCGGGCGGCTGCGACGGCCGTGGTCAGGCACGAGGATGCTGAACGCCGGTTCGGTCTCTGTGTTTGGGTTTTTTCTCTTCTTTTCACCTCTCAGTGAGACTCGGAGCTCCCCAGGCTGCAGAGGCTCCGCTCTGACGGCTCCAGCCATGACAGCTTGGAGAGGTCGTGACTCTACATTAACAGACATTATCTCCCCAGATTCACCCACGCAGATTTTTTTGTCCAGTTTTGGAAAAAGAATTAAACCAGAGACATATAAATAGATTTTTTTTTTCTGCCTCCACAAGCTTTTGACTTAAACCAACTCCTATTTCGTATCTTCATATCAGCCAGAAGGCCAGCAGGCGCTGCCTATTGCCATGGGGAAATTTGTCACCAGGTACAACAACACGTGGAGGAAAAACGCTCCTGGAAGACAGGTATCTTTACAAATGACAGAATATTTATTACCAATACCTTTAAAAAAAGATTACATCTGCTAGATCACTGATAAATATCATTTACACTGGGGAGAAAACTACAGCAGCTTTTTTTTTTTTTGTTCCATTTTTCTTGTTTTTGTAGTTTTTTTGGGTTTTGTTGTGTTTGGTTTTTTTTTTGGTTGTTTTTTTTTTTTTTTTTTACATAGAAGTAACCATATCAAACTAAGAAAGGAACACAGCTTGAAATACTGACAATATTTCTCTGGTCAACACCCCTGACTTTTACACAAGTGGAATCCTGATTATGAGTTACTGAATAAATATATTTAGAAGGTCTAAAAGTTAACTGTATTATTTTGTAAGCAAAAAAGACAAGTTACAGGCAAATTCAAGCTATCAGGAAAAAAAAAATAAACCACTGCAGCGCATTTAAACTTGAAAATTTCATAGAAAATTCCGTTGCCTTTTACTAGCGTTATCCCATCTGAGTGAACTTACAAAATTACCCCATAGTAACAAACAGTCCTTCTCTTGAGAAGAATTATTTTGCTGTGGATATTGTCGTTTTCCGGCGTGACTCTATTTTGCCTCCAGAGTCTCTAAAGAAACGCAGACTTCCCGGCAGAGAGAGCACTGCCGGCGCTCCCCGCGGACACCCGGCACCTCCGGGGGAGCGCGGCCGCCCCGCGGCGCTGCCCGAAGCCCGGCACCGCTCCTCCTCTGACGCTCTCGCTTCACACCGGATTTCCCAAGCATTTGCTATCTGGTGGAGTGACGAGGGATGATGAGTTATGTTCCAGTGCACGTGAAAAGCAAGCGCGTGTTGGGACAACGAGCCTAGGGCAGCTTTACGTCTCAGAGTCGCTGTATTCTAATTTCCTCGGAATAAAATCCCCCAAAGCGAGGTGGATTTAGCCGGGTTTACACCCGAAGGTGAGACCCGCGTCGTTTGCTCGCTCCTTCGGGTACCCGTCCCTTTTTGTCACTAGAGGCAGAGATTGCATCTTTGCAGTATCTTCATTCCTACCCAATTTAATGCTAATTATGATAAAGACAAAGCTATTTCAAGACAGGCAAAACGGACCCTTGCTGCACGATGCCAGCTTATTAGCTACATGTCCTGTAGTCCACAACCAACCAAAATTCAGGTATTTTTTCAAGATTATAGCGTTCTGACTATTTCGAGTTTGTCTTGCTTAGACCTCTGAATAAAATATAACCTCTTGTGTGTTATAAGCACTTGATTTAACACAAGAATCATCGTAACTGCCATTTAAATCCAGCCACATTATGAAGGGAATCTGGAACCGTTCTGCCTTGTGCAGCCTTGTAAAACTGTACAGTAAAGTTGCAGCCAATTTACCAAGAACAACTTTGAACTCTCCATCACAAAGGAAAAAATTCCAAACGATATTTTCATGATAATGTCGTCCATAGCATTTTATAGCAGAGGAAAAATTAATATCTACATCATATGTTAACTTTAAAAAATTCTATAAAACACTAAATATATAATAAAAAATATGCATATAAGGACATATGTAAACTGCTTTGGTAACATCATATTACAGATGTTTTCAGTGCATTGCAGAGTTTCCAAGGAAACTTCAGACAAAGCTATATTTGCTTTGAGGAAGTACTGTATAATGCCATTCCTAAAGAAGCATAAACATTTTTCCAGTAGTAAGATGTACTCAAACCACAATATTACTTAGTACTGGGTGTCTTCAAAACAACTAGCTAAATGTTGCTTATATTATAAACAAGAAGTCCTTTTGTCATTTTTGTCATAAACTGGACCGAGCTGTGAGCGATATCATTATTGTGCTGATGGCTGACAGCGTACAGGCGTTGGAGGTCGAAGAGCCGGATCCTCTCGCGTACGCGTCTGAGCAAAGGAGAGAAGAGGGGGGAAATCAGCCAAGGGCGACGACAGCGACCTTCGTTAACCCAGCCCCCTCCGCCGGGGTTTTCCTTCTGCCACCTCCCATGACGCGCGCGCTCGGGGACTCCCGGTAAGGTGGGACGCGCAGACCCCGGCTCTGCTTTGCTCCCTTTGGGTAAGCGCCTGGAAGGGGCCGCGGTGTCGGGGAGCGCCGGCTGCCGATGCGGCCACACTCCGCGGCCATGCGCGGTCCCCTCCTCCTGCTCCCATAACCTCCTGTTTACTGCCTTTCGCCTCCCGAACTGAAAGTTTTGGCTTAACTTAAATTCCTGCCGCTGCTGCGTTGAGGCTGCTTTCACAATTGCATTACTTCACGGCCTGTTTACTTATTATTTTATTATTTTTTTTTTACAATAGCACTATATTCAAGCTGTTACTTACGGCACCAGCCCGGCACGCCGCCTGTCCTGGAGGAGCTGCATAGCTGCTCTGTGGCCCACCGCCTTGAGCCAAATAGGAACTGGCATGTGTTCCTGCTCTCCTTCGCTCTCCTGTGTCTGCTGATTAAATTCCTCTGTATGGTTTATATAGCCACACTGTACAGCTACGGTGGAGATAATTCTGATCTCACCCAGGGTTTTTTACATTGCTGTAATTTTAATGCCATATTCCTGCACTGCAGAGGCTCCTGATTTAATGCAGCTTATAAACTGTGGCATTATTAATGGAAGATGGGACATGGAGATTTTGCAAAAGCAGTGTTGTGTAATAAAATACTCTCTTTTCTGTTTGTTCTTCTACACAACCTCATTTCCCTAAATAAATATTTATGCACCCAACACACAATGGAATATGGCTATACAGTAGCCTTATAAATTTAAAAGCCTCTGAACACTGCATTTTGTATTTTGTTATAGTGAATTGCAGTGAAACAATATATTCAACATATATACAAGTATGGAAGTAAGAGGGTGGAAAGTGTCTAGAAATCTTAAATACAAATATGGCTAGAATCATAGAATGGTTTGGG